CTCAAAAATGCCCCTTGCTTCTTATGCAGAGCCTTTTTTCAAAAATCTCACTAGACTATAAACTAAATTACAAATTATAAATGTAACCTGTTTTTGTGCTCTGAAAATCTCCAAAAAATAACTATTTGATATTTGAAGGGTAAATGCTTAGTGGGTGCCTTTCATATTAAAATCTCAAAAATAATAATAATAATAAATAAATAAAAAATATAATAATAATAATAATAATAATAACCATTTGATATTTGAAGGTTAAATGCTTAGTGGGGCTTTACATAGTAGAAGATGAAAAAAAAAGAAATTTATGTACAGTGTTCTGAATAAATGTTTCTGTCCTTGTATTAATTCTCCCTGTGATTCTCCTTTCAGAGACAAGGGGATGAGCTATATGCTGGGCAGTGACTGGAGTGACATGTTTGATGTCATCATTACTAGAGCCAGAAAACCACAGTTCTTCAGACCCAAGAGGTAGTCCTCACATTATGTTTTTATTATTGTTATATAAAGGTGTACAGTGCATTTTAAAACTTGTATATAAAATAGATTAGATCATAGCAAACAAAGTCCTTTCGCCTTAATCACCATAGCCCAAACTATGGACAAAATCTAGACATTTATTTGTTTTTTTTTTTAATTGTTAATACATGTAAACATTTTTATGGTCATTTGCTTAACTCTTGGTCTAAGTTAACATAGGTTCTGAGCTCAAGTCCTCTTATGAAATTGACTGCCAGCAGAGAGGGATCATCGGCCATGTTCATTGTAAATTAATATAGAATATTTTATACTGGTCATGGCTGGAGACCTTTATAATGTTTTATATTAAGCATTTTCTATTGTGTTAATTATATATGTTTTATTATAACCATCCTCAGACCATTCCGAAGTTTTGACAGAACCCTGGGGACACAGTCCTGGGGAAGAGTGACAAGTTTTGAAAAAGGACAAATATATCAGGAGGTAGGAATTGAAATCACAGTGAAAAATATTTTGAAAAGAGTCAGTTTGACCTGGATGTTTTTTGGTAGGGGGCGGGGGAAATTATCCCCAAAGTAGTGATTTAAAAACATTTTTGGAAGATATAATAAGGAGAATTGTAGAACAAAGAGAAAGGGGAAAACACAAAGAAGGAATGGTAATGAAATATAATTTAACAGAAGTATAATATGATGCTGACTGACTGTTTAGCACTGCTTGTTATAGTTATATGTGTTTCTGATATAATTTCACGAGTTGGCAGTTAAATTTATGTGCAGGATAATGCTCTGGCAGACTAAGGGGAAGCCCCCGTAGGTTTTTGCTGTTCCCCCTCCCACATTAAAAATTACAAGAAATTATAATAAATGATAAAAGTACAAACAAAATATTTTTCAATTCCTGTGCCTAGCATATTATAGTGTTAATTGTTTTATAGATGCAAAATGCTGAGTGAATTGAGGCAGAAGTAAAAAGTTATCCTTGTTTCATTGACCGTCCTTTTGCAAAGTATTGGTTCCCTGAAAACTACAGGCTAATAATATGGGAAGTCATAGTGGTATGGTGTCTGGTGTGGGTTTTTGCATATAAATATCATCATTTAGTTCTGTAATTTTGCTGTAATTTCAGGGCAATATGGACGACCTTCAGAAAATTACTGGCTGGCACGGTGCTAAGATGCTTTACTTTGGGGATCATGTCTACACTGATTTGGCTGTAAGTCTCTCTCTCTCTCTCTCTCTCTCTCTCTCAGCAGTTATGATTTTTAATATATATTTAATATTAATATTATTTTTGTTATGATAATATATTGTCTTATGTATACTAATAATGTACCTTTCTGTATTAATTTATTTTGATAATTAAAAATATATGATTTAATCTTCAGGATGCCACTCTCAGTATGGGCTGGAGAACTGGTGCAATTATCCCAGAATTAGAGGTACTTACTTTGATATTTGACAACAGAAAACCAATGACCAAAATCTCTTTCTACATCTCGACCCTTCATAAATCTTTTGTCTCTTTCATTTCTTTAATTCATGCAAATTTAACCAGAAGTTGTTTCCTACTATAACTTTCAAAATATTTCTTCACTAACCTTCAGATCTCAAACACACAAGTGTATTCTCATACATGTTTATGACAAAGCAAATAAGACAGTTACTGTATCAGGACTTAACAGTGAACACAAGCTATAATTTTCATATCCAGTCTTTGGTTCAATTAGCAAATAGTAATTTGATAAATGAATTATTGAATGATTAGTTATAAATAAACAACAATGAGGTGTCCATTTAAAACTTGAATTAAAAAGAAGGTTCATAATTGCCAATTCAGGGAGAGATAAAAAATTTCAACTCTGAAGAATTCACGAATGCAGTGACGTGGTTGTCTTCACTACAAGACTTGATAGAGAAAAGTCAGGTGCTCCATGACAGTCCTGAGGCTGAGGCTGTGCGACAAGAGTGGTTGAAAGAACGTGATCAACTCCGGTAAAGAATAAAATATCTCTTTGTTTATGTTTCTATAAGAATTTACTTATGTATTTGTTTGTTAGTTACTCATTTTCAGTGAAAGAAGTTATGTTACCTTTTCATCGTTGTTGCTGAAACTGTATGTCTGTCTGATAGTGGACAAGCTATCTTAAGAAAATTCTCTATAAATTTTAATGAAACTTTCAAGATAGACAATTATTCAGGGCATTTTTTGCTTGTTTATTTATTTAATAACTGTCAGAAATTTGTCTATCAGTGAGGATTTATAAATAGCTGATGAAAAGTTCAAAATTGAAGTATTTTAAACTTATTTCCCAAGAGAGCATGCAATAATTTTGTTAACTGAATCCACTACTTTCAAAGTTTAAACTTATATTTCTTTGTTCAAAAATCAATCAAATTAATATCTTTTTAATTAATTTGTAATTATATTTATAATATTGATTTTTCATTTCAAATTCTACAGAGTTGCAACCAAGGAGGTGTTCAACCCACGGTTCGGCAGTCTGTTTCGTACCTACCACAACCCCACCTATTTCTCCCGACGTCTCTCGCGCTTTGCAGACATCTACATGTCCTCCCTCACCAACCTGTTAAACTACAAGTTAACTCACACGTTCTATCCCCGGAGGGCCGCATTGCCACATGAGGTGCACTATGGATCGGGACTAGATGGCTGCTCAATGTGTAGATGAGGGGTGATCTTTACGGTAATTACTCTAGAATATCTAACACCACACTTATTTGCGATCGGGACCCCCCTTTTCTCAAAATGAGTTCAGGCTGAAAGTTGGTTTTAGCTTTGAGGCCAAAATTATAGTCTGCATGGATCCATGAAAGAGCAATGTTTGTCTGTTGAAATGTCATTGAAATGTTGTACCTGTTTTATACAAATGAATATAAAAGAAAGAAACCGCTGCTTTTAAGCAGTAATTCACTTAATTATAAGTTTTTGAAATACTGCACAAATATTCTGAATTAAATAAGTCGAGATTTAATTTTTGGTTTATAAGAGTAAAAACCAACTGCTGGTGTAAAGTTCTTGGTG